TTTTAATTATTGAAGTCTTACATTTAATTGGGAATGGTGGGAGTTATGTACTTGGTTACCTGGATGGTCTGCTGTCTACAACAATACCATAATTGTGTTCTGAAGATCTATGCAGTTTGCCTGTAAATCCTCAGAATGTTTCTTTAAATATCGTATCCTTTGATTAGTTTCTTTTAATTCTTAGTTACACCATTGCTTTGTAATAACTGTTGTAATTACATGAAGGCAATACTTTCATAAAATATAGTTCTATTCTTCCTAAATGAGTGATTGTGTTATTTACTCCTAGGTTAGAAGGAATTCTCCCCTCTATTTTATCATACGAAAACTATGGTTGAACTAATGCTGTTTTCACATGTTGCTGCAGAGCTATTACCATAAAGTAATTCTGTTTAATAGCCTGACTACATTTTGTCAGTGGAATCTCCTCATACATTACGTTTGGAATTTCGGTTTGGCTAGAAACACTTCAGAATGAATTTTTTTAAAAATATCTGCCAAGTACTAATCCTCTCCTCTCTTTTGGGGAAAATGGTAGGCAACTTTGCTGCAGAGGTTTAAAACAATGGTTATTGTGCAGTGGTTTTCATTTCCTTAAAAATTAAACCATCATTTGAAACTGTCTCTTTCAAGGCAAAAGAAAATATGCTTTTAAAAACAATTAGTCATATAGCCTTATATAGCAGTGTCAGGCTAATCCTGTGCCTTGACCATGTGATTTATGTTCCCGTTATACGTGTGCTTCATGCGTAAACAGTAATTCTTTAGTTGTGGATAGTTGGGAGCTGTGCAGGCGCCCAAGAGCTCAATCTGCTAATGTTAACACACACTTCCCCGCCCCCTTCCTGGCATAACTTGTGATCGCAGAGCCATGAAAGTATGTGAGTCCCTCCCCCAGCACAGACCGGTCCCACCCGGCATATGATCGGGGCCCCATGTCGCCGGAGCAGGCAGCCCCGACTTGCCACAGCGCTGCGCATAGCCGAAGCAATGACCTTAACGAAAGAGAGTTTCCACAGGGCTCTTCCACCCAGTTCTGAAGTGGCTAAGGCCGACATGGACAGCACCAGAGAGAAGGAGGAGGCTCTGAGGCAATCTGTGATGAGGACTGGAGCGGTGGTGCCAAGGAAGCGAGCGGTGGGGAGGCTGGTCATGC